TTAAAGATACTTTTTCATACAGTACCTGCCAAAAGCTTTGTTCAATCATGAATATTAGTGCGAGTCGAAAACAAGCGTTAAAGCCTTTAATATGTCTTCAAATATAAATAAACATCTCGTTGATATTTTCAGTAGTAAATGGTACCAATAACAGCACTTTTGAGCAATGCAATTGTAGTGGTCAATTTTTCCGTGCAGTACTGTACGGATTATACGCTCCTCACCGGTTAAGAGTTTGGCCGAGTGTTGTCTCCTTCCTTTTCTGGCCTAGTGCTGTTCTTTTTTATTTTGCGCCGGTCAAACTGAAAGTCACATCGCTACAGAAAGTAAACGAAGTATATAATATTTTCTATGTTGAAAATCTACTCCAACATTGCGCTTCTCAACAGGAAGCTTCTTCTACAGATACAAACACAAGACAGAGTTATCAAGTAACCGGTAGAATGTGACCGACAAACAATTTTTTATTTATAGAGGCTTTTGGGGTTCTTTTTTTTTTCGACTTACTTCATAATGATCGACTTATAAGTTAAGGAGGCATTCCAATTATTGATGCGGTTTATCTTTTCTGTTGTAGTTAATCGTATAGTTAGAGCAAAACAAACGAACGAAGAAAGGAAATAAAATGATCTGTACGTAAATGTAAGTTCGAAATTTTATTGCGTTTAAATTGTCTCTGTCGGGGACCATTTGTTTGGTTGAATCGCGGAAAGCGGAATCGTAGGTATATAAACATTGCGCGCAGAGTATTTAGCGGGGGATGCGGTGACGAGCGGAGCAGGAAACGGACATGACGCCATACTGAGCAGAAACAGCGGAAGACTACTTCAAACAATGGCTTGGCGCGCACTTTTTATAACGGTGCAATTAGACCGTCGGAGATACGAAGCGAAATGTTTTTCATCGCGGTATTCTTATTGTCGGTTTTCTATACATTTAGTGGTGCCAGAAAAATGTTGCGCGACTTGATTTAAAGCCCTATACGAATCAAAAGATATGGAACAACCGAAATAAGCCCTATCGTTCGTTGTTCAAACGAAAAAATACCGTCATATAGAAACGATTTGCTTTCTAATGTTTCGGATATTTCAGTTTCCATTTCTTATTCCTGAAATAACAGCAATTAACTTAAATTTTGAATTACTTAAATGAAGAAAAAGATTTTTTTTCGTTAAATATTCTTGGTCTTATTTCGCTAATAAATGCAAGAATATTTACCGGGAAAATTTCGTATTTTCCATTAATTATATAGAGTGATTAGGTGCGTATAATTTAAAATTTGAAAGTATACAACAAAAGGTGATTTTATCGTTTATCAAAACACAAACTTGAAAACTATAAAACATTTTACTGAGTATCCTAATACCAAAAAATAATCAATGACCTCCCTAAACAAAAGTTTTCAGTCTCTCTCCAGTCTCTCAGAGTCTTTCACAGTCTCTCAGTTATTGCCTAGGTGTTTTTATGGATCTCTCACAGTCTCTGTATGAGAGACTCGAACGATAAAATTGTTAATTCAGAGATTCGAGTCTCTCACAGAGAGACTGAATGAATAAAACTGAAAAATTGAGAGACTCGAGTCTCTCGTAGAAAGACTGGGATCTCTGAAATATGTTGAACTTAGAAAATTTTAACCATGTCTATCGAGACACCACTTATTGAGAGATTCGAGTCTCTCGTTCAGAGACTGGATACGAAATGAGGATCTCTCTATGAGCGACTCGAGTCTCTCGTTCAGAGACGCTAAGCAATTTTTTTGACAGTCTCTCTTAGCGACACCTGAGAGACTCGATGAAAAACGGAGACTCGAGTCTCGCTTTCAGAGACTTTGAGAGACTAAACATTTTTATCTCGGGCTCCCTTGCCTGGTATATAATACGGTTATTTAAATAATTATTATCGTATTACATCGTGTCATGTAGTTTCCTATTTAAACACACAGTAAAAAAGTGATGTAACGTATCATCATGGTTTCAGTTTAAATTATTCTCTCATCTAATCTACCTATCAATAAACAAGTGTAAAAAAAAACTCAACGTAAAGTGTATTCTCTTTTTGGACAGAAATCTACCGACACCTGTCCGACTATCTTTTTGTATTCATCATCCTTGGAACAAATTAGATCGAGTATTTCGTGCTGTACGTTTCCGAAAACAAGGATCAGTTAAAGTTCTCAGCCCCAGCTTTATTATTATTTTCAAATCTTCCAGCAAAAAGCACAAAACGTTTTATTTAACCGTCGGAAACTCCGTGCCTATTATAGATGTGTATTGTTAGATTTGAAATCGTTCGGTACAACAGAGAAGAAAAGCAAAATAACAACGACAAAAAAAAATAAAGAAGAAGAAGAAAAAGGAGAATATGATGAAATGGACGCATTTAAATAAAACACGTACTCCATTCACGACAACGCCTCAAATTCAAATTTTATGCTTGCTACAGTTGGTGAGTGAATCTCTCTCTCTGAATGAGAGACTGGCTCGCTTGTTTCTTTTGCTGCGCCTTCTCGGATCCGTTTATCCACGCTTGCAAACACATCTTTTGCTCCGACGGTAGTCACTTAGATCAATAACTTCACAACATCTCCACCCGACCAAATCAATTCGGCTTTTTACGATTCGGTTTTGTGGCCAACGTTCGGCACAAAACATTTATTTCAAAGTCTCCCGTATCATTTTTTGACCAATCGGATTCGCCGTGAAATCAATTAAAATATATTTAATTTGATGATTTTCAATGCTAATAGTTCAAGACGACCGAGAATATTGTCCCAATCGTGATGACTTCCTAGCATATAATACAACAACTTTTCAAGTTCAACACTCAACTTTTTCTACAAACTGAATCTTTTAGATCCAAGTTAGGAAATTGATTCAGGTTTTATTTGTTGTTAATGACGTATATAATTTATGTCACGTTCTTAACGATAATCGTCCCATAACTAATTGCTGCAACACGTAATCCACAAAAGCAATTAAAGATCTTTAAAAGTAAAGATCGTTTGATGTGCCAGGAATGTGAAAATTGGATAGAGAAAACTAGAAGATTTTCGAAATCTAGTGGAAGTAACAAACAAGTAGTCATCATCATCATTATAAGGTCGTCAGATCTAAGACTGGTTGGACACGAACATCCACTCCTTCCTATCCTGAGCTAATCTTCGCATTTCCCTAAAACTAGAACATCCCACATCTTTAACTATCTGCGAACAGTAATCTAATCTGTGTCTACCTCTACCCTCTCTGTTTAACTAGACCATCATGCCTGAGAAGGTGTCCTACCAACCTATCTCGCCTATTTCTTATTGACTTCCATAGAGTCCTCTGTTCTTCTATTCTTTTCAATACCTCTTCATTTCTAACCTCTAACCTTCTCTATCCACAGTATCATAATTCGCCTGTATTACCTCATTTTGAATGATTCTAACTTTTTTCCACCGCCCTCATAGTCTATATTTCGCACCCGTACTGCGACTCCGCTATACTCTGCTTTATATCCATAGTACTCCTTCCGTCCTGACTTATCTCACTTCCTAGATACATACCCGTAGGAAAAATTTCCATTGAACCTCAATGGGAATCAATGGAAAATTTGTAAATTCCATTCAAAACCATTTGGCATAAATGGAAAAATAATTGTTTCCATTACAATAATTCCATTAATATTTACATAGGAAAAATTTCCATTGATTTTCAATGGGAACCAATGCAAAATTTATAAATTCTATTTAAAACCATTAAATGGAAAGAATCTATTTTGCTATATCAAAAAT